CGCCCTGCCTCTCCCCGCACGCGGAGCCTTCGCCCCCTCTGTCTCTTGGCCCTTCGCCGACCTTGTTCCTGAGGGCACGGGTGACCCTCAAGCTTCTTTTGCCTCCCAGTGCTTCAGCCGGTGGTTCAGGCTGCTTTTCAGCACTTTTATGTGTTCTGGGTGGTGTGGCCGTTTCAAAAATCTTCAAATTCATCTCTTTCTTGTGGTTGTTACGCTTGCATAGATGATTTCTAACCTTTTTCTTTCCTCTCCCTTGTGGTTTAGCCCCACCCAGCAACTGAGCACCACAGAGCTGCTCACTTGCCTCCCCTCCTCCCCCCCAGGTGGGATGGGGGAGAGAGGAAACAATGTGGCTTGTGGCTTGAGTTAAAAACAGTTTATTAGGACAGCGAAGGGAGAAGAAATAATATTACTGATAAAGGCTTACAGAAGGATAAGCGATGCATAGTGCAACAGTTCCTCACAACCTTGTGACTGATATCCTGTCCCTGAGCAGTCACTCCTGGCCAGCTCCCCCCAGCTTTTACCGGGCATGAGGTTTGATGGCATGAAGTTTGATGGCATGAAGTGTCCCTTGGGTCAATTTGAGTCAGCTATCTGGGCTGTGTCCCCTCCCACCTGCTTGTAGAGAAGAAGCTGGGAATAGAGAAGCAGTATTAGAAGCTGGGAAAGTCCTTGGCTTGATATAAACTCTGCTTAACAACAACCAAAACCAGTAGTGTGTTATCAGCATTCTTCTCAGCACAAATCCAGTTACTGTGAGGATAATTACCTCTATCCCAGCCAAAACCAGCACATGCCTTAAGCAAAGATTAGAAACGAACCTAAAGATGTATGTACGGATGGATGACCCAGCAAAATGATCTCACTGTAGCTAAAGCAGACAGTCCCAAAGTTGGGATGTCTGGTCCAGTTGTTTCTCAAGCAGAGCTGCTTGTTTTGACCGCAAAGCAAGCTGGTTCAAGCGCCTGTACTGGCAGTAAAGTAACCTACAAAGGGGGGAAAAAGTATCTTTGAACTGACTTGAATGCAGAAGAGTGTGTTTCGAAAGGAGAAAGTGGGGACTTTCTGAAGCAGGGAATGAAATTGCCTTGCTTTTGTCACCTGGCCATGAAGGTGTAACCTGTGTTGTGCCTTGTCAGCCCTCCCTTTTCCGGGTAGGTGTGGTGAGTAACAAAGAGTTTCTTCTGTGAAGATGTGTTGGAAACTCAGAAGTCGGCTGCCATTGCATGCTCTCTGGATCCAGACCTTATATATCATAAGTGGCCCCTGTATAGTGTGTGTGCTGGGTCAGGCTCACCAAGTAATGTTTTTGGGAAACACCTGCTTTCCTGCCAGCGTCATGCAGATCAGCTTGAAAGTTCGGCATTGACAGGCTGAAGTACTTCCAGACACAGAGAAGCATGAATGTCAGACGTGTTAAAGTCACGTCTTGGATGGTGTTGCTCACAACTTTCAGGATCATTTTTTTAGTCATTGCTTTTTGAATTTTATTTAAATATCAGGGTTTTCACATGAAAGCATTGTAGGCTTTTTGAGCATTGCCTTCCGAAATACGTTTAAAAATGAAGGAAAAGGTAACCCAGCTGCTATTTTGTAAGGCTTCTGCAGGCATAAATGTATTAGACTTGGAGGTATTTAGTGACATGGCATAGTGTGCACACTAGTGTATCCTTTGTAGTTGATGTTCAAACTTTTCTGTGATTTCATTTTTTTAATTTATTTTTATTTTTTCTTAATCCATTTCTGCTTCTATACTTACCTTTCCCTCCTTTTTTTAATTTAGGGAACAGCTTGCATGTATTTCAAACGCTTTTACCTCAATAACTCGGTGATGGAGTATCATCCTCGGATTATAATGTGAGTTATCCACGTATTTTGAGTTACTTTATCAAATGGAACATTGGAGGTATAATATAATATATAGTATATAAAAATATATATAAGCATATACAATATACACACAACATATACATTATATAAGTATATATAATATATAGAATATATATCGTATGAGTACCTATAATATGTAAATATATATGAGTGTGTATATTATATATATGATATATATTGTTATACTCTCTCTCTCTATATATATAGTATAATATCCGTAAAGACTTGAAAAAGTGAGAAGAGAGATCTAAGAGCTTAAATATGAGTAAAGACAAAGTATGGTCACTTTCATTTTCCATTTGGAAAAGTTTTCTGTGCTCAGAACACGGTGCTTTGAAAAATACACATTTTGTGGATGGAATTCTTGATAAAAAAGATGGCTTCTGCCTATGTCAATTGTTTGCTTTTTTTTTCTCTCCTCAAGGCTAACATGTGCATTTTTGGCCTGTAAAGTAGATGAATTTAATGTCTCCAGTGCACAATTTGTTGGCAACCTTCGAGAAAGCCCTCTTGGACAGGAAAAAGCTCTTGAACAGATACTGGAGTATGAACTACTGCTTATTCAGCAACTGAAATTCCATCTTATTGTCCATAATCCATACAGGCCATTTGAAGGATTTCTGATCGATTTGAAGGTAGTATTGCATTATATCCTACAGACTCCATATACTGACATAATTCCAGTCTATTGTGGGTTGTGTTGGAAAACTGTTTCCCTTTGTGCCTGTGACCTTACAGATGTAGTCTCTAAAGCAATGGGCAGATATCTGAAAGGAGGTCTGTTTAGTGGTCTTAAGCACTTTAAGTGGCCTGCTACTTTTTAGCAGTACAAAATATTGTTGAATCCTGTGTTTGGAGCTCACAAACTGGAAGACAAGAAACAGCCACTTACTTTCCTAAATACTTGCTTTCAGACTCGTTATCCAGTGCTGGAGAATCCTGAAGTTTTGCGGAAAACAGCTGATGACTTTCTCAATCGAGTGGCTCTGACGGATGCGTACCTGCTCTTTACTCCATCACAGATAGCTCTCACTGCCATATTATCTAGTGGCTCAAGAGCAGGGATTAATATGGAAAGGTAGTCTTATTTTTCCTGTGATTTAAACAGCTCACTTGCTGCTTGTTTAAAATTGTTGTGTTCTTGAGATGCTTAACTAGAAGTGTGTATTTACTGATTGTTAACACTCTGGTTATGTCCTTTAAGTGTGTCTCAAAACTGAGGCAGTACTGTGTTTGGGTTTTTTTTCCATTTTCAGAAAGTAGGTGATGAATGCAATTAGTTGGTGATTGGTTTTTATATTCCTTCAGAAGAAGGAAAAAGTCAAAGTAATAACTTGGCCCTGGTTAGAGCAGCGTAGGTTTTCCAGACCCCTCTAGAAGATTAGAGTGAAGAAAGTGGAAATACTGTAGAAACTGAGAGCATGAAACACCTAAAGAATCACTTAAAGGAAAAAAACATTTAAGGTACTTGAGGTTACAGAGTGAAATGAAATTACACTGAACTGAGTAGTGGAAACCAGTCAGTGGAAATGTGGAAACCAAGTGCTGTGTTTTGCTGGTAGAACTGTTCATGGTAATGGACTGGGGATAAGGTGCTGTTTTAAATCAGTTCCTTCTTTCAGTCATTGTCAAACACTTTGATAGTATGGCTGAAACATGTGGTTTGTTTAGTTTTTTTAAGGGCAAAACATACCCTTCATAAGAAGAGCAGAGTTAGTTGCAGCTAGTGTTTTAATCACATGGCACTCTGTGTGAGCATCTTTTAAAGAAGCTCTCATTCCACCTGACCTAAAAGAATCTCAAATCTCTCTCATTCTAAAAGCATGAGACTGTGGGAGCATGCTCTGTAGGGTTCGCTGTCCCCCGAGTCGTATAAAAACGTTCAGGTTCTTGTGATGACGCATCGAGGTACGTGGGCTTGATCTTTGTGCGTTCATGAAGGACTCGGGTCTTGCACCGTACAGTTGCTCTGACCTTGTCGTTTGCTGTTTTGTGTGTTAGCTGATGGACATGAGAGAAGCTAATGCTGCAGCTCGGGTCTGTGGGCCTGCGAGTAGCTGCACCTGCAGAGGTGGTGTGGAATGTGGCAGGTTTGAAAACCCATCGCTCCCATGGTGTCGGTGCCTAGGTCGGTCTTGAAAAAGTTAGAGCTTGGGGAAAGAACAGATGCTGCTGTGCTCTGGCAAATAGGTGGCTCCAAATTAATTAGTCTTCAGTTCTGGTGTCAGCACAAGGGTAAGTAGCGGTCTTAAATATGAGCTCTGGGAGAGCAGTGATGATAACAGGGCAGCTGTTGGCTTAGAGGAGTTACTGTCTTCATGGTGGCTGGTGCCTCAGTCTGGGAGCTGCAGCTGCTACAGCTGTGCATGTCCATTAAGTAAGTTTGAGGTTTATACAGGCTGAACAGTGGTATACTTTGGAGCCTCTGCGTTTTTTGTGGTGTGTCCGTAAATGCGTTTCCCAGGAAGCAGTAAAAGTAGTTGTTTGTCGTGGATTTCGGTGAGGACTGTTGTTCCTGTTTGTTGGGGGTTTATCCAGGTGGTGTGTGCATGTATTCCTGTTCTTTCCAAAAGGCAGTTTCAGTCTCTGAGGGAAGAGGAAGGGACTGGGAGACTACGAGGCAGCATTTAGGGTTAGTTTTCAGATGCCAAAAGAAGCAGTCCCGTCTTGCCAGCCTTCCTGTCTCCTGGTCTGTCTGAAGACTTCCGTGGTGTTTGCTTTTCCAGCAGTCATGCTGTGCATCGGTGAGATGTTAGTATGACATTTTACGGCATCTTCGAAGTAAGTTGGCTTGACTCGGCGGGGCTGACTGAAACAAATGCTTCATTCTGCGGTCTTGGAACGCTGGTTCTTTACGAGGCTGGGAATACTTGTGTCACGTGCTTACAGAAGGAGTTTGCAAGCGACAGATTGACTTTTTTGTCACTTTATAGTGTTTATATAACCAAAGTGTTCTCATTAGGGTTAATTGTAAAGCTCTAGCGGATGTAAATAATGAATAATAGACACTTTATTAGCTCATGGTAGCTGCCAAAAATAATTATGACTTTAAGAACTTTTTCTTCCATATGTCTTCACAGTTACTTATCGGAAAGTCTTATGCTGAAAGAAAAAGGAACATCCTTAGCCAAGCTGCTAGATGGCATGAAATGTAAGTAACCGTTGGAAAAATGTGATCAACAGTATCTCTGAAGGGGGAAAACCCTTTTTTTCCTTTTTTACACATACACACACACCCCCCCAAGTGAAAAAAGGCTTTAAGCAGAAAGGTGTGCTTCAAGTGATTGTCTTCATGTCAGGGCTGGAGTAAGGTAAGTAAAACACGGGTAGTAGAATGAACTACCTGTACGATGAGGATGCAGGGGCAGGAAAGACTGAGGCTTTCCTGCGATATAAACAGGTGAAATTAAAAGGACGAGATGCTTCTTGGAACATGCGTGCTGTAGCGGGTTAAGTGCTAGTGGCTGGCTCAGAAGAGGGAAACCTATTTTGAGAACTAGGTAATGTTTTTTTTGTAGTTCAGGATGAAAAACCTCTTTTTAGTCACTGTGAGTTAAAAATTACAGCCTCAGGCAGCCTCAGCCTGCGTATTGGCACTTGTGCCACCAGAGGGTACCTTTTCAAGCGCAGTGATGCGTGGTACGTCATCTGCCCGGATTTACCCCTGCCTTCTGCTTTGCAGCTGCAAAGGTCTTTCAGAAGAGGCTTAGGTTTGCCAGTTTGGGGAATGGATACGGATATATAAAAATACATATACACACACAAATATAAATAGTAAGAGTGGTTTAATAGCATGCTCTAGCTGAGATAACGGGGAAGGTACCACGCTGATTATTATCTTTCTTTAATTGGATGGAAAGGCTGGTATATGAGATTTCCAGTAAGTAATCAGTTATTTAATGCCTTAAGCTAATGCAGGCGTTTGAAGTGGGGGATTGGTAGCATTAGAAATCCAGTTCTCTGACTAAGCTGACTTTAGTAATGAATGCATGAGACAAGTCACCAGGGTCTACAGATTCAATTTAAATTGAACTTACAAGCTCTTCCCTTTCTCTTTCTGGTAACAAATCCAGTGTTCAGGTTTCCGATGGTTAGATGCTGAGGAAACACTGGGATCACTTGTTCTTCACTTGCATTATTTTGGAAGGTAGCTTTAGCCCAAAGGCAGCTCTTCTATAAACATGGTGGCTGGAAGGAAATTTGGAAGTGAGTGTAAATGACTAGTTTTCTGAGAGCTGGTGCTAGAGGAAAAGTTTTTCGTGGGGTGGCTGTAAACTTAATTTGCGTTCTTAACGAGACTGAAAACAACCTTTCCTTTTCTTAAGACCGTGTTACAGTGCTGAATGCAAAAAATACCTGTGTGTTTTGAAGCTTGTTAGCAGAGTAGTGTAAACCCTGCGTTATAAGAACTGAAGAAATCCAGCATCGGCGATGCTAACAGCTTGTGTGCAGCTTCTGCTCTGCTTTGATGTTGCTCAGAATTAATCCCTGGGTCTCATAGGTGTAACCTTCAACCCTCTACCTTTTGAGTGGTACGGGAGGTGGGAAGTTCTGTAAGCAAGCAGGTCGGGGGGAGTTAAGACTTTGAACATCCAGTGCTTGCTTGGACAAATGCAAGTTTTGGGCTTCAAAAATTCTTAGATTTTGGTTTTTCTCTGTGTGCCATTCTGATTTTTTTTTTGTAGGGTTTTTTTTTCTCCGAGTAGACGCTGCCTCAAAATGTGTACTGTGCAATGAGGGAAGGGAGGATGGACTGTTGGCTCAGGCTTAAGTGTGAGGGATGGGCAGTAGCAGGTGCCATACTACTGACCGATAAGCTTACTTATTTGCTTAGAGCTGTGTTTTTGACACCACAGGCATGAAAAATCTCCTGAAGAAGTATGAACTGCCAAGACCTGAAGAGGTTGCCGCTCTAAAACAGAAATTAGAGAAGTGTCACAGCTCAGAGCTTTCACTTAATGCAAACCTGTAAGTAGAGGCTTTCTGATGTGTCAGACTTGTGCCTTTTTTATTGCTAGAGAAACCCTAATTTTCTCCGATCTGCGTGAGTGACTGAAAGCGAAAACATCTAAACGTACACACCAGGATGTCTGCGCGCAGGCTGACTGTGTGAGGGCCTGCGGGAAGCTGAGGACCGAGGTACGCCCAAGGGAGTGCGCTTGGTGACGTGTAAACGGGCGCTTCCGTGCTGCTCCGACGGCAGGCTGTAGCGCTGATTGCTTTGTAACGCAGAGCTGGAATCCCAGGTGGCTTCTAAGGTCTGGACACTTGAGGTCATACGGGGTGGGAATCGAGGGCTGTAAAGCCACTTGGCTAATACAGGAATTGTGTAAGGGGTTAATGCCTTCTGAAGACTTTTTTGTGTGGGTGGCAGAGGACTCCCTGATTTTTTTTCTTATTGGCCTCTTGACTACCCACCATCGACTTCCAGCAAGCTGTTAATTGAAGCGTCCCTAGTTTTTTATGTGACCAGTATGTCCATAATCTCATCTCTTGGCCTTACAAGGAGTCTGTCTTATACCTAAACATTGAACTTGTTTTTCTGGATGGGGGTTAGGAGGAAGAGGAAAGGCTGTGAAGATGAGGAATATGTCACGAAGAAATCAAAAATGGATGAGGTCAGTAAACCAGTTGTGCTTGGTTTTTTTTCTGCTCTAACTGCCAACACAAAAGTGCGACAGCTACCCAGGCAAACTCCTGCATCTGCTCGTATTCTTTCACAACGCAATTTTTCTTTTTTTTTAGACAGAATCCTTTTCAGCCTTTTTTTAATGACCCCGAGTCCACCCTAGCCTGCCTTTGCGATTATTCCTAAACACCCCAGTCCCTCATGGGAAGGGAGGGGTAATGCAAGGGCCATCCCCCCAGCTGCTCCCTGGCCTTTGAGCGTCTTCTGGTGAACCACAGAACGACGTCAGGGTTCACTGCTGTAACTGTAAGAGTTAAACTCCGTGATGCCAGGGAGGGGAGACAGCTGTGAAAGTGAGTTTTGGAGTATTGGGATGAAAGGAGTTTTTGGAAGGCCGGAAACAGAGCACTTGAGGAGAAATCCTGGCTGTACAGGTGGAAACACTCCTCAGAATGTGGGTGACATAAATGGGTATATGCTGAAATGTACACAAGCAGGCTTTTTTCACGGAGGTTTTATGCGTGTGTTTTCTGCTGGCCAGTGTTCTGAAACTGTCTTCACGTACTTTATTTGGCTTCTTGCGTAAAGCAGAAAGTCGGCTGCTGGACTGAATTTCCCCATCAGCCGATTAGCTGTCAAGGCTTGCACAAAGGACGGATGGGTGGCTAGTACCTCCGGGTCTAAGGCCAAGGGTAGACACGGTGGAGACAGACCGAGGAGGGTGACTCAGCAAATGAAAACAGAATCCAGGTGGTTCTTCAGACCTACACTGAGTGCGTGTCAGAGCCTTCACTCGTAACGGGAAGCAGAGAGCATTCTGGAGGAGGAACAGCTTTGTAAGGAGCCCTTCTTAACTGTCCTTCTCTGGATGCTGAAGATGTGCATCAGTCTAAGACACCTTAAGTGTGGCATTTAGTAACAGCTGGAGAGGGTCATCATTCTAAGCTTTAACATAAAATGCAGGCTGTGTGGGTTTTTTATAATTGAGGGAGTCGTGCTGTTGTAAATGGTCACAGCAGAATGTCAGACCAGAGCATGACAGTGATTTGAACAAAATCAACATTGAAAATGCATTCAACCAAAGCATGGAACGTGGGTCATGTTTTGTGGTGGCTGTTCAATACTGTAAAACCTCTGCCTAGTGTTTACTTCGAAGGCCAGGGTGCCTATTTGTTGCTCCTTAGGTTCTCTCTAACGAGGTGCCAGTGCTGCATGGGGGGGCGTGGCCTGTCCCACCTCAGGGTGGAGCACAGCCCACTCTCACACGGCTCAAGGCACGGCTTTTCCCCTTCCCTCAGGAGGAGTGGACGGATGATGATCTCGTGGACTTAGTGTCGCTCTGAAGGAGGATGGAGTCCTGCCGCTGTGGAAACAGCTGCTCGGTGTCACGCGTGGAACTTCTGCCACACATTCCTTGCTCTGTGCCCTGAGGCACTCGTTCTGTTGGATGCTGGTATCTTTGCAATAAAGTGTTTGCTAAAGTAACTAGGGTGGTTCTGTTAAATCCTCGTCCTTGCAAGGTCAAACACTACTGAGAAATTTTTGCTCTAAGGAATCAGTCAGGGAAGAGTTTCGGGTCTGGAACAGCTTGAGATACGATTGCAGCTACTGGGGTATCACACTCCTACGCTTGGGTCACTGGGCCTGTGGGGAACCAGACCCCTGCAAGCAGGAGACACCTGCATCAGAGCAGGACCCCTGCTCCCCTCTCCGCGGGCTTGTCCCTGAAGCAGCTCCCGTAACGCTCGGTATTGGCTTCTCAGAGGCAGCAGCAACGTTGTGCCTGTGTGGTAAAGTGCCTCGTTGCTTGCTCTGACTTACCTGGGGCCAACCCAGAGGAATGTTATTTGAGTCTGAAAGTAGTTAGGTGTCTTCCAAATCTGGACCGAAGTCTGTTTCCTTTCCGTATGCTGTTGTGGAACATAAGCAGTTCGGTCATGCAATTTGGGGAGTTTCCTGGTCTCCTTCCTGTTGCTGCATTTTGTACGTTGCAGGCAGCCAACTCTGTTTGCCGCCGTCTGTCTTTTTACCACCTGCGCCCACCCAGCTTGGTCTGCGGGATAACCCGCTCTATCCACTCCACCAGGGTCAGCAGCTGACAAGCAGCTGTCACAGCTTTGTTTCTGAGAGCCCAACATCCCCTATGCATTGCCCTGGGAACCGCTGAGCGGAGCTGGCTCACGTCAGGCTGCAAACGTCAGGCCGTGAACAGCCTGCAGCAGTCGCTCCTCGCCCAGAAACGTGATGGGCTGGGGCTTGTGTCACCTCGTGGTGTACAGAGAGGACAATGTAGGGCAGGAGAGGGTTGGAAAGGCTGACACTGAAACACCCCAAATCTTACCATCTGTTTCTCTCACCCCGTGAGAACGTACAAGTGAAGGCGTAGGGGGGATTGACACTACGCAAGTGACGCCACGTGAGCATTTCGAAGCGTAAAAAACTTCCACAGCAGCCAGAGGTAGGCAGTTTCCATAAAGAGTTGATCTGCAGCTTGATTTATTTAAAAAACTTAATTTTCACTTATAAAAATAATATTTATGGTAGACTTACAGTACACAAAAGACCAACCAATACATATTTTATGAAATGGTTTAATGAATGCATGCATGTCTAGTACAATGATCAATAAATTTACTGAGTTCAACTTAACCTGCTGTTGTAAACACGTTACAAAAGCATCGTGATTTATCTGGATACACAGTTCTTGATGGAAGAACTATTCAGACTGAATCAGTGGCACATCAAAAAAATAAAGCTGACGAGACCAGTTCTTTCAACATGATTCCAGCAAGAGAAACAGCGTGGTATAAAAAAGTGTACAGTAAAGATTGTTCCTACCATAACATCAAATTCTGGAGACAGTAAATACAAGTTAAAGTGGTTGAAACAGTCAAGTCGTAATTATGGTGACCAGTCAGAAATTACAGTAAGAAACGTTATCCAGTTACAGGTAGCCGTCAACACATTCCATGTCAGTTGAAAGCTCTTTCCACCAAGACAGCGAAACTTTGGCAATCGGAGGCGCTGGAAGTAATTCTCAAAGTTCAAGACACAGTCACAGCATTTCCTTTGCGGAAGGTGAACTGTACACCAAGGCTCAGAGGTTGTGAAAACTGTTTCCAAGTGGAAAAAAGTGCAAATGTCCTGCACAGATAGCTTAAAAAGCTGCTGGTACAATCATTCACCAACAGGATCTTTGTTTTCTTTTTGCATAGTTCACACATCACTGGGAATGTGACAGGGTGTGCTATTTTTGGCAAGAGCAAGAAGAAAGTGATACTGGTGTGAGTCGCCACGTCAGGCATGCTGGATCCATGCAGAATTCAGGTAGAGGGCTGCTACCTGACGCTGTTAGACACGGAATACTGATTCTGTTTTTGCTGAAGCAGTTCAGTAATAGCCAAGAGCTTCTTAAGAACATGCTGTAGAGAGAGAGTCAGTAAAACTGCACATTAGCTACCGGAGACTTGCAGGACAGTCTTGCTCAAGAAGCATTTTCAGCATCAGCCTATCAGATCCTAGTTTAAAATACATTAAAACAAACAAAAAAGGGCAACAGCTGATTCCCCAGTCAGTAAGACACTGCTTCAGAGGGAAGTTAACCAACTTCGCCTCTCCATCCATGGATCTTTTTGCTGCCTTGTGGTGAAGCAGGAGGCTAAGACGGCACCAGCTGGATGTGCCATGTTTTGTTTACACGTGTACTGGTACATCAGAGAAGTGTGGCCAGCAGGTTGAGGGAGGGGATTCTCCCCCTCTACTCTGCTCTGGTGAGACTCCACCTGGAGTGCTGCATCCAGCTGTGGAGCCCTCAATATCAGAAGGATATAGACCGGTTGGAGCGAGGCCAGAGGAGGCCACGAAGATGCTCAGAGGGCTGGAGCCCCTCTGCTATGGGGACAGGCTGAGAGAGTTGGGCTTGTTCAGCCTGGAGAAGAGAAGGCTCCGGGGAGACCTTATAGCATCTTCCAGTACCTGAAGGGCCTACAGGGAAGCTGGGGGGGACTTTTTACAAGGGCCTGTAGTGACAGGACAAGGGGTAACGGGTTTAAATTGGAAGCGGGGAGGTTTAGATTAGATATCAGGAAGAAATTCTTCACAGAGAGGGTGGTGAGGCACTGGAACAGGTTTCCCAGAGAAGCTGTGGATGCCCCATCCCTGGAAGGGTTCAAAGCCAGGCTGGATGAGGCTTTGAGCAACCTGGTCTAGTGGAAGGTGTCCCTGCCCACAGCAGGGGGTTGGAACTAGGTGATCTTTAAGGTCCCTTCCAACCCAAACCATTCTGTGATTCTATGATTCTATCAGGAAGCAGAAATGGGAGGTATCACTAGAAAGTTAACGAAACCAAGCTTAGTTCTCAAACGAAAAAAAAAATCCAAGATCCTAAAACTAACAACCCACAGAGCCTGTCAGGAAACGAGTAATTCTGTGGGTTTAGCCTTCCTCTAGAAACTGAAACCTCCTCTGGCAACTTTAAAAAAACCCACTCTCTTTGGTTTTGTTGCATGAAGAAACATAACTACGGACAAAGTATTTACCTTTGCGGCCAGCTAATAACCCCTGGTGAAAGGCACGTATTTCAACATGCTATCAGTCACCCCCCTAGCCAGAAATGCTCCTTAGCATCAGGGTGCTCTGTAGTAACTCGGACATCCCGCGGCTTGTTTGTTAACGTTCGTCACTTACCTGCATTACACCTCGCTCATTACTGAGCGTCCGCAGTTCGTCTGAGTGCGCCACACAGATCTCATGCAAGGCCGCCAGATCACGGGACAGGTCAGTTCTAGAGTGCTCTGTAGTGTCTGGAAGCTCAGGAACATTCTTTAACAGAAACGATGAGAGCAGATTTAGGGTGCTGAGTACCCGGGCACACAGGAAAGCAGACACGACTGGTTTATACCCCAGGGCCTGCAGTGTTAAGTCCTCCCAGGTCCACCTTTCTGTTAGGAGTTAACGTATTTCCTCCTCTCTGCAACCGTGTGTTTTATGAGTACACCCCAATTCCTGCTAGCAGGGTTCTTACTAAGAGATCTGGTACTGCTACGCCTCCGTTGGGCTGACCAGAAAGCTACGGCGTAGAGAGAACCAACACTCCCTCCAAATGAGGGGGAATCTATCCGTCAGCTGCTTTTTTTTTTTTCCATCTGAATGAGAGAGCAGCAGGAACAAAAAAAATGCACCAAAAGTTGCCATTTAACCAGAAGAAGATGGCACATGGCAACCCACCCGAATGCCACACTGGTTTTTGTATCCTATCGAAATAAGCTGAGATGTCTTCTAGGTCACTTTTAAGGGATCAGTTCAGGAAGCTTAGCACATTCTTTTCATCGGGGGCATTTAAAATGAATTTTTGGTTTAAGAATACACACACATGACATGAGAGTCCTGACTGCAGTGAGTGCTATGGCACACCAATCAGTAACACATCAAAGAACACAGTAACGGCAGTCGCTGCCGGCCTGCAGGGTCTCGGACGCGTGCAGTGACACGTTTGGGAATGCCTGACCAAAACTCAACCACCGTTTGTTTAACAGCAGAACTTCATTTCAACCTCTGGTCACACAAAACTGTGTGACAAGTTATATATAAGAATTTTTGTTTAAAACATTTTATTTTGGGGGCAGTATTTGTAGTCTCAAAAGCAGCACCTCTCCACAGAGACCCTAAATGAATAGAGGCTAAGATGACACATGGTGCTTCCATTTCCGTGCGAGAGGCCGGCAGTCTGCAGCTTACAAACTTGCATAAGAACAGTTTATTCAGTTACAAGTGTTCAGAATTGTGCGGGAGACGACACATTTTTGAGTTACTTAATAGAAAGCATAAAGGATTTTCATTCATAACATTGCTCGGTAGCTTCCAGTACAGACTTTTTTCACCACTTACCCCAAGTTCATCCAAGAACATGATCATGCGATGTTTGTTGCTCTTGATGAATGGATTTACCCCTTCCATATACGGCTCCTGGTAATTACAAGAGGTATTCGTTAGAACGAATCAACGCCAAGGTAACTGTCACACCTGAAGCGAACAAGGGCAGTCAGACGAAGGACACTGCAGAACAAGTGTGTCATCTGCAGCTATGTTGTTTCTTCGAGTGAATTTTTAATGCCTGCTGTGCAGACAGTCGAAGACTACAGAATTCAGTATTTGCTTGTGTTACAAAGATTCCGGATCTTCAATCCAGAAATTTTCATGCATACTGACAGTATTTAGAGATTAATGTCTCAATACCTAGCTGCAATGAACAAATGCTCCACTTTCAAAGGTATAATCTGGAATAAGTGCCCTTTTTCTTCTTCTTCCATTAACACTTAAGTTCCACGATATGTCAGAAAAACAA